AAACAAAGACACATTTGTCGTGACCAGTTCTAGTCACAGTCAGTCACGGAAATTTCTGGTCACGACAAATGTATCGTTGTTTTCTCTCGTATAGATTATTGTATCCTCAACTTTTATACATCAGTTTGTAGAGGAGAAAATTCTGAATACAAAGGACCAAATCAAAAGTATTTTTGTCATATTCAACATGAAAATTTCTATCGAACAATCTTTTTTTCTTTAGTCACGGTTTTATGGTCACGCCGAGCACTAGTGGCAACATCATAATGATTTTGTATTTTATAGTTACATACATAAAGCACAATCATTTAACCGATATAAAATGTTTCGTTTTTCGACTATTTCAGGATCTGCTCAATATCCATACACACGAACAAAATGAAAAAAAAAAACATCGCTGATATTGATGTGAATGAAAACAAATCAGATGTTTACAACATCAGCAAATAAATATTTTTTTCCATTGAATTTAAAACAGTTTGTCGTATAAAAAAATTAAAAATCAGTAGTGAATGAAGTGAAAGCTATTGTGCAGCGCCAATAGTCGACATCAATTAAAGTCTCTCGGAGTATCGATCGACAAAAAAAACAATGATTCGTCTTCGTAAGAAAGAAAGAAATCAAAAGAATTTTCCAGCTATAAAATTGTTTTTCGTCAAGAAAATATAAGTCGCTCGACTTTCTTTTTCTATCAAGCATTCATAATTATTTATAATAGTAAAACTTAACTGGAAGCAACTATAGTAAAAAAAACCGAAACCATCATTTTGGTGCTTTGGAGCAATCGAATGTTTGCTTCAAATTAATCTCATTTCATAAAGATAAAATCATTCAATGATAAAGCTACTTTAATTTTGTCTATAGATGTGAGTGCAGCTAAACAGAAGACAAAAATCCAAACACAAACCAAAAATTCGATCTTTGAAAGACTTTATTCAAAGCTATTCGACTCTTATGAGTCAACCATGTGAAGAGCATGCAAAAAGTGAAAGAAAGGAGAAGAATGAAGATCAAAGTAACTGATAACGCGTACTATTTTTATGCTATTCTTTTTCTTTACTCGTATCACAAGCTTCAAAACAAACATTAAGCAGAACAAGCACGAGTGACATAGTCGTCTATCAAAAGTGTCGTCATTGTCGTTGGATCATTATCATTTTACAATCCATCATCGCATCTATATAAAAAATGGGTTGTTGTAGCTCTACATTTTCGGTATATACAGTAGAAGAAGTTGAAGCTGAAATCGCAAATTTTGCACCTCGTTTACCCGTAGCTGTACTTATGAATGGTGGTATTATTAAGCTTGAAGGTGCAAATGGATTTTTCAATCCGAATTCTCTACTCGATGCAAGTTGGTTACAAGGTAAATTGACACCACAAGAATATTATGAAGCAATTAATTATATTAACAAATGTACAGCTCATACTCATGTTGGCTTGAGCAAGATTTATTTATCATCCGAACGGCCAATGCGTGAACAATTACGAGTGCAAGCTGGCACGGCGGCAGTGCAACAGATCAATAAACAACATCCATCGGTTCGTTTTACTTATCAACAAACGGCCGAAAATATGCAAATTAATACATCCTACAGTACAGATCCGGTCTTGCGCTTCGCACAAAGAGGCAAAGCACCTATTGGTAATGCCTCAATAACCATGCTTTATATTTCTGTTAATTGATTTACATCCGATTTGATTTTATTTGAATTATATTTCAAATGAATTCGAAAGAACTGTAAAATTATTATGAAAAAGTGTTCGAGTAACAGTTGCATCAATATCAGATATATATTTTTTGTTTTTTTTTTCTCCGCGATATAGGATCTTAAAATGCTTACGTGAAGCGATCTCAATAATGTGGTTAACAATAAATCATTGAAGTTCGGCTTGTTTTTCACAAAAAAAAATACTAGTAGTATGAAACTTGTCTTGATTGCATTCAGAATTTGTTGAATGTAGATTATTGTACTATTCGATTCGAGTCTTCTATATTTTATTTGGATTATTTAATGCAGAAACAATGAAATTTAGATTTTGACTACATATGTTTCATTATTATTACTGGTAATAAGTAATAAGCAGGAAAAAATAATAAAGTTACACATAATTAAGATAGTAGAAATTCTTCAAGTCATCGATCATATATCTGCGACATTATGACAACGATAGATTTCATTTTTTTCACCATAGATTGTTCTCAAAATTTATGCATTGTTGATAGAAATAGTACAGTTTCTGGATTGTGCAGATCCAAAATGAACTTAAGGTAATACTTTATTTGAAAAAAAAGGCAGAGCATTAATTTAGTCGTTTAATGAGATATTGCTCATGAGAACGGAAAAAATTTTCGTCTCTTTCTATGCTGATTTATCCGATATTCATTGTTAATAAACTGGGATCAGTGCATACTAACGTTATATTTTTCAAATTTCAACAAGATGAAAATTTGTCTTATAAACAGAATCATTGAATAACAAGAGATTGATGCTGTATTTTAGTTGCTATCTTCACTATAACAAACTTTTACTTGGAGAAGATGGCTGTTATGTAAGAACGAGAATGTATTTTTCTTTCTATTAGATAACTAAAACAAACAGGGTGTGAGTGTGAGCTTGTATCTTGTCTTGCCTGCACCCACACTCGCACATCCACCCACAACCACACCACATAGATCTGCAATAAATGAACGAAATTTTCAGTTCGGAAAGCTTTATTGAAAATACGATAAAGAAATGAAACTCTTGTATGCCATCAGATCGCTTTGTGAGCAGTGTTAATTTGCTTCAAAATGCAAAACTTTTATTGATTCTTCATTATTATCAATGTACTGTTCTCGTGATAAATCTAATAATCCATTTTTAGCATTATTATCATTCTGCATATTCCGTAATGTGTGAATTAAAAAATAAAACCAAATAAATAATCTGCCTTCTTCATTAAGTTTCTCAATGTTTTTTTGGATTGCTTTCTTACCTAATACTAATATTGACAATATTTTGAGTAAACAAATGGATGCATCTTCATTAAGTGCTTTTAATAATTCATCTTTATTATCATACACAACACACATCTTTGCATAATTCTTTGTCCATTCTTGATGACGAGTTTTTTCAAAGTAATACTTATATAAATAGAATTGATTTTTGTTAAATAATGAATTATCTTGACTAATGATTCAACATCAATTCCAAAAACAATCAGAATTTTTTTTGCTTGTTCTTTTGACAATAAATAACTCTTTTCATTCAATACAATCATCAAAAACAATAAGATAATTAATAATATGACATATACGTGATTGAAAATTGATACAGTCATCTGATGGATCAACGTTTCTGTCACACGAAATAATGATAATATCTTCGAGATTTTCTTGTTGTTCAGGATTCAATCTTGCTGAAAAAGATGATTTCCGTACAACTGACATATCAAGAAGAATGAATCTAATGTAAAAGTTAAGATAATTATAATGAGGAATAGCTAAAGCACTATCAATCATTTGATTTTGAATTAGATGACAGAAAATTTTTTTTAAATTATCATATAAGACAGATTTCTCATGTGCTCAAATCTCTGGTGTAAAATATCATATAAACACAACCTAAAAATATTTCATTTAACTTCAAAAAATTTGGAAAAACTTTCAAGAAATATGGTTCTGTATATTTATAAGCAGAAATGATTAGAGGAAAGCAAGTGTCAACATCGTTTCGGAAAGAAAATGATTGCTGTTTTTCACTCTTTGCTTTTCCATTTGTTTTTCACAGACATTACATAAATAACATTCTACTTCTCTGATAGTTATGAATATTTCCCCAATAAAAAAAACCGAAGCTAGTTGATAGAAGTATAAAGCTGGTACCGAATCGAAGTTTAACACATCCTTGAACAGTTACATGAACAAGTGAACTTAAACAATTCATTGATTATGAATATTTACAAAAATTTCTTTTTTCAAAAGAAAAGGTAAAAGACAAGCAACGGTAGCAAGACGTAGGTAGGTTTTTTCATAAATGTATAATGAAACGAAAGAGAGACAAGAAATATTTGCTTCGTTTGATCAAAAACTGCTATTCGAGCACCTGTTTTTCGTCATGTTACTTTCGATTTTTGATATCTTTTTATCACTTGTTTAGACGTTATTTCACCACTAATGACTAAATGTACAGTGGTTTATCATTAATTTCTTTTACTCAAAACTCAATGGCGAATAAGCCGTTCAGTGTTCTTATGAAAAAACTGAAAGAAAAAACAAAGTCTGCGAATGTGAATGAATTCCTTCACCAACTCCACGCTCATCCCACACCCTTATCGACCGTCTGCATTTTTGACCATTGTTTTTTTGAAATAATTGCAGTAAGTATTGCACACTAGTTTGATTTCACATCATTATATTTGACACCCAAGAAAGGAATTTTTACATGCCAAAATGGTCAGTAAAGAATATTCTACAAACTCTAAGAGTCTGAAGAGAATTGAAGAACATTAATAAACGTATTTGAGACTTCACAAAATAACGCATATCATTTTTGTTATCAACATCTATTTTTGTATTTTATCATGTAAAGGGGTGGGTAAACAGAGTGTATCAAAAGAACGAATGAAGTGGTTACCATAGAAATGCAAAGAGGTATAAAAACTTAACTTTATAGTCAAAAATTTATTATATTTTATAATAATTTTAGCAAAAGATAATATATTCTTTGGTGTCAAGAGTTATTTACGTGTGACCATTCTGTTTGAAGCATCTAACACTCATTTTTAACAGTAATGAAAACAACCATCATTCTCACTCTCATTGTCTTTGTCTTGATCAATCCAACGACCGGTTATACCTGCTCTTGCTATTGCTATAGCACTTATTATGGCACGGCTTACTCCAGTCTATGCTCGAATTCAGCCTGTCAGTCAGCGTGCTATTACAGTACATCGTGCTTATCACTTTCCGCGACCGATGGGTAAATATGTAACACTGAAATAGGCTACATCATGTTCTTTTCTATTGTTAGCTATTGTACTTTGTATTCAAGTACGACAAGGCCAAGAAACACCTGTATGTGTCGATGCGCAAGGTCTCTATGGGGAAGTGCAAGCATAGTAGGCTCATTTCCATTGTACTCATGTTCTACAAGCTCGTGTCAGGATGCCTGCGAGATTCAATATCCACTGACTTGTGGTCTGTACGAAAATAGAGCTTATTGTGGAGCTCTCACCATTCGTGCAGCTTCATCATTGATAATGACAGTTGCCATGCTCATTTTTTTTCTGGGTCGACAACTGTGATAATGATCCTTTACTCTGCTCGCTTGCTAGTTTCCATTGATTTCACAGTAATTCGTGAGTGAAACGATCATCATATTTGTATCATTGCTTCCATATCCATGTATTGTGTATTTTTTAATAAAATCTTATTTGTTACAATATATACTTGCATCAACGCAGATTCTAAAAGGCGAATGCCTTACTTTGTTACAAAGCAAACAGAAATTTTGTTTTGGTTTTACGTACACTGAAGCGTAAATTATCAGTTGAAGATTGAGTTGATGAATGAGGATAGTTGAGGTTCATGTATTTCTTAAGGGTATGGGTGTGGATACATACAACAACGCAATCTCACCACAACTCGTACACTCGACACCCACATCCCACACACACACTCGCATCCACTCACACCCTCCAAGTAGATGTCTTCTCATCAATTAGATTCAATAAAACTATCCGTATCATGTATTTAATGTAGATGCAGGGCTGGCCCGACCGGGGGTTGTTGGGGTTGCGACAACCCCCCAATATTCGTGACGCACCCTCGAATATTAAAGATATTTTTCTTTTTTTACTTAATCACAACCTCGCAAAAAAATAT